ATTTTTGGTACCAGGTTGAATCATCAGTTTCAGTACCAAAGAGGTTCTTATTCCTGTTTTCATTGCATGTTACTTGTGTGTCCACACATTACTGAACCCATTGTACTCTATAAATGGACCAGAATTGAATAGGTTAACTCTAAGGGAAACTAATTGGAAGGTTTCATTTTATATTTCTAAAACAGTTGAACATACTTTATTTGCACAATGGGTTAATGCAAAATTCTTTGGCAACTTACGTCGTACCTGTTATGTGGCTTCTTTTTTTCTTTCTTTTTTTTTTTCTTTTTTTTTTTTTTTTTTAAGTAATTCTTTTTTTATTATTTAGCTTAGCAATTTTTCATATGGTTTACAAATCAGGGTTAATTTGTTTGTTAACATTTTTGGATCTTTACTGCAATTGTAGACTGCTGGTTTCCATCCTCCATGGCCTTTACTGCTCAACAAAGCAGCTGTAGTGCCAGCAGGACTGAGGAGCCTCTACCCTTATGTCCTGTTCTCATTGGCTTCCAGAGATTTTCTCAACCATATATGGTAGGCCTTCAGCAGGATCTCTGTGTGCTTGTTTTCTGTTGCTATTGCCACAGTTTAATGGCATTTATTAAAAAGAAAAAAATCCTCTGGGACTGTTAAGTGCATGTGTTTTCTCAACTGAGTCTTACACAGGCTTTTGCCATCAATTCACATTGAGTGCTCTCTTTCTTTCTTCTACTAATGAATAGATAAGAATAAGCCTGCCTACGATTACTAAAGTGTTTTCTCTTTTTTTCTATTTCTTTCTGCAGTAAGTTGGCATTTCTTTCTATTCTATTCAGGTTTTTCTTACTCCTCCTCACAAAGTTTCTTGTAGTCTTGTCATGCACCTTCCTCTTGTAAAAGAAAAAATATTTTCAATAGACTTTCTTTTTCCATCCAATTCCTCCTCCTACACCCCCCCCCCCGGCTCAAATACTAAAATCTGTTGAGTCACTTTCTCTTTTGACTGGGGATGAAAATTCCTTTCCACAATGACCCCACCCGTCCCCTTCACCTTCTGTAGTCTTGATATGATGCTTGTTCCTAATGATGTAGGCATCTTCTATTTAGTGGTCATTACCAAGTTAGTACTAGTATAGTGAATTTCAACTTCACTCAGTACATTATTGTCACTCTGTACCAGATGAAGCGAAGCTTTACATCTCTATAACCGCTGATGCCGTAAGAGTTAGCTCCCTTGCGAAATGGGATCTATTGCAACTAATGTTTATCTATTTTTCTTTTTACTACTTTTTCTGCTACTCCAATTGCCTTAGCCACATTCCATACATTTGCATGTTTTTTTTTTTTCTACTAACCATCATATTTTTATTTTTATTTATTTGTCCCTTTCTGATCATTGTTTCTTTATTTTTCCTCCCCCTCCATTTAGAATAATTGTCAGCCTTAAGTTTTCCCTTTAAATGAAAAGAATAGTTATATTGAATTTTTTTGAAATTTATTTATTACTCTAATATCTGAAAATATTTTAAAGTAAGTTATTTATACAGATAAAATTGTTAATCACATCAAAATATGTAATGTTAAACGATTCGTCAATTAATTTTTTAACAGCAGTAACAAAATCCCCATGATGTTTTGAATTCTCTCAATTTTATTATTTATTCTTTCTGGGTTGGCCAATGAATGTTTAGCATTGGTCAAAGATGATGCTGTTATCTTTTTAGGCCTTTGCTGAGAAATTTTTATTCCTAATTTTAGAATTTTCCCCCAAGCCAAATTTCAATAATTCTCTAACTTTGTTTCAATTAATAGCAAATTTTCATGTCTTTTGGTTCAAATTCTGTTTCTCTTGTCTTTTTTGCCATTTTATTCTTATTTCCAATTTTAAAGGAGGCAAATTATTCTCAGATAGAAACAGATCTTTCTTAATGTACATTTAAAATATTTCTAATGACTATTACCATGTTGCTATTATAATTCAAATTGAAGCAAATATGTAGCCCTTAGTTCTCAATGGGGATTTGTGTACAAACAGGTGAGAATGGAAACAAATCCCCCAAAATAAATCCTGCTATGAAAATATTACAAATGAATTAACCACTTGGACAAGTAAGATTTAAATTTTCTATTGAAAGATATAATCTGGCTTTTGAATGTGACCTTCTGATGTTCTTGTTTTTAAATATCTTGTTAATGCCAATAAAATGGTTTCTATTGTTTGATGCTCTGCTAAATTTCAAAATGTTTTCTCTCCTATTGTGTGAATTATGCAAATCTGCTGAAATGCAATATTTTTATTACTTGGAATGGTTTGACCGGCAAATTACATCTTAGACACATGTTTGCATTGATTTGTGCATTAGTTGTTGTTATTATTGTTTTTACTTCTTGAAATAGATTCCTAACTTCTTTGTTTAGTTTCAAATTTTTCATTTTTCAAATATAAAAAAAAAAAAAAAAAAAAAACTGCCCTTTTCTCCATCCTTTTTTTTTTTTTTTTTTTTTTTTGCATTCATCTGCTGCTTGTCTTTTCTTTAAAATTAAAACATCAATTGTTGAGATAGAATCTTAGAATGTGGGTCAAGATAGTCAACAGGGCTAGATTAACCTTTAGGCTAGTATAGGCTTCAGCCTAGGACTCTTCAAGCTTTTATAAGGCGATGATTTTAATTTCCTAGATGTTATAACTTCTAAATAGTTTCATAAACTGAAATGATATCAAGATGACAAACTTATATTTATTTTGTTTTATTCTTATAATGCTGGTTATAAAAAAATCTGTTTTGTTTTTTTAAACACAGTTGTGTTGAAATATGTTTGCAATAAATAATAAAATAATAGTGTTTCTTAAAGAATATTTTTATTAACAAACAAAAGAAAGCTATTCTAGTTTATTTAAAGTATTTGCAACAAGTTTACTTCAAGCTATGTAAATGTTGCTAAAATATATCACAAGTAAAACTTATTCAAAACAGGATTTAGAGGATGGCTCTCTGTGAGGGAGATCCCTATAATTTCATTAGCCTAGGATGGTCATAATCTGGCCATGATTGTCAAAAGAGAATTTTCTTTGCAAGCATTATCTTGGTAGCACCAGAAAATCTAAATGTAGCACTTGACATTTTCATTTGGACCTATTTAAACCAAACTCTATTCTTTACCTGGTTGAGGTTTCAATGAAGGATTCAGATGAGGATAAGAATGTTTTGTGAAGAATTGTACTCAAATATAAAGCTTTTAATGGTATTAGATATTGTTGTATGGTCATGTGACAACTGAGGCATGGCTTAATTGCATCCCAAAGGAATTTTCAATAGCAGACTTTGTTTTTATGGGATGGGATATTGGATTTTCTGCTTTATTTTAGTCATGTTCCTTCTTCATTGAACTTGTTACTAATTTAGTTTTATTATTAGGAAAGCAGTTTTGTACTAACATTAGTAGCAAATTTAAATTTTCTTAGAAAAATACTGACACTTGTTTTTGCTATAAGTATTTGAAATCTTTTTTATAAAACATTATTTAATCCCCAATCAGTAGTTGATTGTAATTGAGGCTATAATGAATTGTTACACAGCTTGAGTACAAAAACCTCACAAAGGTATAAATTAGATTTTGAAAAGTATATGCATTCATTTTGGTTAAAAGCTTTAAAAAGGAAGTCTGTTATCTTCAGCAGATTTACAGAAAATTAAATCTCCGACATTCTAAAGCCTGTCAGATGATGATCATCCTGAAAGACTGATGATTATGTGGGCTTGTTGATATTTTGCTATCATCAACCATTTTTTGCATTTGTCACTAAGTAGCCCATTAAAAAATTATAAACTGAGAAAAGTCAATATTTACTTTGCATTCTACTTGAAAAAGATAATAAAAAGTTCACCTTTTTCATAACCCCCCCCCCTACGAGATATGGAGGGAATAGACATTCAAATAAACTATTATTACTCCCTGTAATTTACAGTTGCTAGCAACTTGTCAACAGATATCTATGTATTTAATATCAGGTTAGTGAATAAACAATTGTCAAATAGATTTAATGACTTGACTTGGAAACCATTTTTGCAACTAATCCATAAAAAGTTGCTCCATTCAATGGATGATCATAAATTTTGTGTTTAAAAGAGATAAAGACAAATTTTTCTTTTCTCCATCCTTGTCATGTTGGCTATTTTTTTCATCAAACAGAACATATGCTTCAAACTTTATATCTTGGCTTGAAAGAAAACATGGATGAAAATGCTATTAATGAATTGCATTTAAAATATGCATTGTGCACAATGGCGTTTTATCTATTTTTTTTTTTAAAGAATTTAGTTGGTCATAAAAGAGAAATATTTTGTTTTATTTCTTGCTGTTTCTAGTATATGCTAAAATGAGACAACATGAAACTGGTCTCACCCTTGGGTCAAGGTTGTCACATGTTTGAAATAAAATATACATTTTGTAATAAATTGCAAAGTTTGAAAACAAAAAAAATAACTACTGTTTTATAGCAATTCAGAAAAATTCATAGTGCTAAATTGGTGTTGGATAATTTTTTTATTCTAGGTGAATACTGATTAAATTTCCACTCTTTGAAAATCTTTCCATTTACACGTTTGATTGAATTTTCTTCAAATGCATTTAACTCTCAACTTGCAGCTGCTTCAATTTCTCTTAAAGTTTATTTATTTCTTTTCCCATCTTTGTTCTAAAATCTCATCAACTATATATGTACATCTTAATTTCTAAAAACTAGCATGCCAATAAAATAAAATCTTAATTTCTCAACAGACAAACTAATCCAATCTTTTAGATATGACAGATTTCTACTTTAATAAAGCATTTAACATTTTAAATTTTACTTATAGAACTCAGACAGAAATATCAAGTTGAGTGAAATATAGTTTTGTTTCAGTTCTTTTAAGAGAGAGAGTGTGTGTGTGTGTGTGTGTTTAGTTAGTTGCAATTGTAAGTAATTTTTTGTTAAATTGGAATGGCCTAATCATTGCTGGCCTCCATCTAAATCCCATCAGTATTGTTCTTTACAGGCTTCAGCCAACCAACAGTGGAACCTTGCCAGTGTGGTGCCAAGCACATTCGGAGTACCACCTACCAGACAAGCTCCTCAATCACATTCAAGTAAACGTCAAACTAAAAACAGGTAAACATCCTCTTTATTTTATTCATCAAAAATACTCTCAAAAAAAGAAAAAAGATTCTGTACCTTATCAAAGATAATGTAATGCAGATGTTAAAATGTGCACTGAATGTAGAGAGAGCAGATTTGCCCAACAGAAATAGAGGATGAAATGATTTCTCATTTACATACACATACATAAAAAAATCAAAATAAACTTTTTACCTGCATCAAACTTATTATACTAAAGAAAATATTAGAAACCATTTGATTTAAAACTGGCAAATCTGGCAACTGTCAGTGGACATAACATTTCAAAAGCTGCAATGGTAACATGGAATTGCAATTTGGAATGGCATACAGAATTCTGAACAATATAAATGGGCCTTGTAACATCTAAGAATTAATGGTCTAAGCCAAAAGACACCATTTGATAGAGATTATTATTATTATTATTCTTTCATTTATTCTTACTAAAGAATCCTGAAAACAGCTAAATCAGTTGCCTTCATTTTCTTGGATAATTATTTAAGATTGGAAATCCTCAGTGACCACAGGCTAGCCTATTGTTTCAACTCTAGATCTTGAAGAATGAAAAATTTTTAATATATTGTTCATTATGGATTTTTTTTTTTTTTTTTGTACAGGACAAGTAAAGAGACCTGCACATCAACCCAACTATCCCCCGTGAAAAAGCGTGTCAAAGAAAATACACCCCCACGGCTAGACAGTCTGCATAAAGAAGAAATTCTTCGTCTGTCTGCCTGGAGCAATGAACCTCAGATTGTTCCACATAGCAGTAAAGGAAGCAGCAACAATAACCACAGCCACACAGCACGTGGTGGAGGGGACCATCGCCAGACCATTGTCATAGCCGACACCCCCAGTCCAGCTGTCAGTGTAATCACCATCAGCTCCGACAGTGAAGATGATGAAGAGTCCAAAACCCATCTAAAAGATGCAGTTAAAAAGTAAGCTGTTTTCTACTGTCTATTAGTATGGGGGGGGGGGGTCATAAATGGATATAACCCTCCCCCTCTCTCACACTCTGTTTCTGTTTTGTAATTCAATCAGAGGAAATGACCTTCATGTCGCAATTGATTTCTCTGAAAATTTTGTTACTCTATCTCAATTCCAAAATTGCTTTGGAGAAGGCAAGTGCTTTAGACTTAACAAGAATAGCAACTGAATTCAGATTTTGTATAAAAGAGAGACCCTGAAATAAATCTGTTTATATAATGTGAACAAAAACCTTGGTGATTGCCAGGAAAAGGGGAAAGAAAATGTTTCCAGTCAGGAAATACATGAAAAAGAAATATTGAATCTCTTTTATTTGTTTGTTTCAGATGAAATATTGATTCTTGATGATGTTGATCTATTTTAAGGAGAAATTTCTTCTACCCACCCATTTATTTAAACAAAACTCTTCTACTGCATTTTGGGAAAATGTCATCACCAATTATGATTTAAATAAAATTTACTTTGCATGTGAGAAAAGATATTTTTCTTCTTCCTAATTTAAAAAAAAAAGTTCAGTCTGTCAGATTGTATCACTTTCATACAAGATGTTTGACTAAAGCCAAAATACTGATTCAAATATAAAAATTAATTTCAATACAATAATTTACTTATTCTACTTTAAGAAGTACGCCAGCTTTTTTTCATCAAAGTTTATATCTTTTATTTTGGCAACATTCATCAAATTATGCAGTCATTTGTCTATGTGTCATAACTCTAAACTAGAGTAAAAGACTATAGACAGTAAGGTCTTTGCTTTAACTGTATAAACTAAAACTTATCCTGCAACTTGCCACAGAAAAAGAAACAGAAACTAAACATTGTATTTACAAGAATCTGGAAATAGTGTGAAAGTTATTTTGACAATTGCAATCATTAATGCCTTTTCAGTCTTTGGATTATGGTCTCATAACATAGAAAGGCAATATCCACATCCTATGAACTTGTCTTTCTTTTGAAAGAACAAAATTATTTACTTTCACAATCCCAAATCAATAACTTTTTTTTTTTTTTTTTGTTAAGGGTACGCGATGTCCATACAAGTACCAACCACCATCACCACCACCACCACCATCATCATCACAGCAGCCATCATCGGCAATATCAACCACATGGTAACCATAGCAATAGCAGCAGCAGCAGCAGCCATGGTGGTGGCCATGGAACTCATTCCTATTCGCAAAATAGCAGTAGTGTTGACAGTGGAAACAGCAGTTCAAGATCAGGATCTTCTGCTTTCGGTTAGTGTCCTTCAAATCATGAGATTTTTCTTTCTACAATCTGCATCTCTTTCTCTCTAAGTAAATTCTGACTTGAAATATGCTTTCAATACACAATCACAATTTTCTCTTGCACACCAATTGCAGATGACATGGAATATGTTTATATATATATATATATATATATATATATTTTTTTTTTCTTTTGTAAATAGTAAGCTTCACAGTAGGACCACTCATGGTAGAGGGTTTACATTAAGAGGCCATTTGTGTATATAGTGGTGGAAGATAATTAACCCTAGCCTTGAACAGGTTAAGAATGTATTGATTGGGGGAACATCCTCTTGAGAGTCAGTTCCACAGAATATTGGTTTTCAGGAAGAATCTGTTAGAGTAGAACTTACTTCTCACCAATGGAATACAGATGGAATATAGGTGGTTTGCTACTATGTAAGTGACATGGTGTGCCCTAGCCATGAATGTTTGATTTGGTAGGACCAGGAAATGTAGTTTGTCAAAGCAGTTTCCATGGAAGTAGCAATAGAGCAGTGAGAGGCTTGCCACATCCTGCCTGTGGGAGAGAGCTTTGTGAGTGGAGAATTAATTTGTTATCCACAAGTACTCAGAGATGCTTCTGGACTCTATCAAGGCTGGAGAGTTATGTCTGGGCAGCTCCCACCCAAATATGACAACAGTAATCCATTTTTGGTCTGATCTGACTCTTGTAAAGGTAGAGGATAACAGGAGGAGTCAGGTATTTACTGGAGCAGTACAGGGAGCTGACCATTTCATCTGCATCCTTATTCATCCTGATTGGTGGTAGTTCAGAGTCTGATCAGCAATGATGGAATGTAACTAGCTTGGACTTCAAGATATTGAATGTAACCAACCAGTTTTTATCCCACTGTGTAGTTTGTGCAAGATTGGAAGAGAGATCAGTTGCCATTAAGAGTATTAGAGGTACGCCCATATATAGTTGTATCATTGGCATAGATGTTTACAAATGATCTAAGTATGTTCTTAGGTAGGTCATTTATATAAATCAAAAATTTTTGTAATTTTTATTTTGATCACTCTGATCTTGTTTATAAAACTGCTAATAATTAGTCATCTTTAAATTAACTGTTTCCAGTATTTTTTCACAAGAATATCTTTCCTTTTGCTAACCAGAATAATATGATATGCAACAGGTTTTTTTATATATATTTTGCTGTATTTTCTGCCAAAAATACTTTTTCATTGCTCAGAACTTTTTGACAATCTCTACTTGTTTTCATATTGCATTCTTCTTTCATTCTTGGCAGATTTTTTCCCTTCATGTTTAGACAAATTTCTTTACACACTTGTGCAAATCTCTTATTTGACTTACGTTTTCAAGATAAGGAATTATTTTTTAAAAGACATATTCGGGCAATTAAAGAATGACTTCTGAAATGTGCATTATTTGCAGCTATTAAAAAATAACTTTTCTTCCACAAATCCTTGTATATTTGATGGACATGGAAAAAAAAAAAGGTTCTTTTTATTTGGCACCTTTAAAGAGTACTTCTATTTCACGTTCTAATACTGATTCGATATTCCACATCCCCTTCAAAAAAGAAAACCTCATCATACAAATATTTTTCATGAACCATTCCAGATTTTTACAATTTGCTAACCAAATGATTTTTTTTTTATCTAGATTTCATAGTCAGAAGACAAAAATAATTTTTGATAAACCTATCTTTTAAGCTTTAATAAGCCAATATGCACACATTGTATTATAAAGTTTTTTATTGTATCAATCAGAGAACACTCTTTTAATGTCTTCATCCATTTGATTATCTTTAAATCTGGTTCAACTAATTTCCTTTTCATTCTTTTGACCGCATCAATAAAATAATTTTATAAATTAATAGAATTTATTACAGGAGACATTTTTTTTTCTGTTGACAGCTGCCTATTTCAAATAGAAATTTTCATTATGGACGGGAAATCTTTAGAAAATTTCTTTTTCTTTTTTCCACTCTCTTGTATTCATTGATTAGTCTTTTACAAAATGTGACATCATTATTTACCTTAGATTTTATAAATCTATAAAATTTGTTTTTTTCTTCTTTTTTTTTAGCAGCATTTAGGCTGAGTCTTTTGTCTTCATTGTCTTTCCAGTTTCAAATTTTGCCCCCTCCTGCTCACTTTGTATAGAATCCTGGGGTGCTGCATAAGGATTTCTGCCTTCCTTTTTCTCTACATTAAAATATTTTATTCTAATTCCAGAATTAATGAACAAGCGCAATCACAGTCGGAAATCAGGAGAAATTTCAAGTATGTAACAAAAAGAAGTTAAAAATGATATCTTGAAGTTAAATTTGGCTGTGGCTTTCTTTTGATAATTCTAATATCATTTAATCAACTATGATTTAAACCGTTCAAAACATTTAATTTTAGGTAAATTCAATTAGGTATTAATTAAAAAACTAATAACAATAAAAAAAAGAAATTTTCTTTCCTACTCCTTTTGTCTATTTATTTTCTCTTCTAACTTATCTGAATTCTTAGGCAAAGTATTTTCATTAATTATTTTTGACTCATATTTTTTCTTCTTTTTTTTTCTTTTTTTTCTTTTTGTCACACTGTTCTCAAATATACGGTAGCTATTACAGTAAGCAATGATTACTTTTTCATTTCACAATGTGGACTTTCATGGCCAGGGGGCATCAAGAACATTGCAATAAAAGGCAAGAATAAAAAGAAAAACTTATCCAAAATGAACATTTTCCTCTCTCTTTTTTTTTTTTTTATATCATATAAAGGCTAGTTTATCAAAAATGTCATTAAGTCTGCTTGTTTCCATTGCTTGTCATAATTTTATATGACTATCAGAAAGATGTAATTAGAAAACTTAACTTTCCAAACAAAGCCAAGTTACACATTAAACTTTGAACAAGATTACATTTTATTTGTTTTTTTAATAAGAGGAAATGAAAGAAATTACTTAATTGTTAATATTAATAATGCACCTGAAAAACAATCTCTAGAAATGTTCATATTTGGAATAAAAAATATGAAATAAAATTATAGTTACAAATATTGTGATTGTTAAGAATAAAAAAGACAAAAACAAACCCAACCCTTATATGTTGTACTTTTCTGAATGATGTAAAGGTCCACCTTTTGTTTGTTTATACATTTGTTATAAAAAAAAAAAGTAAGAAGAAAATCAGATGAACATTGAAAGAGAAAAGGAAAAGATTTAAACTAATTGTCAGGTGAAATAATTACATTATTTTGTAAAAAAAAAAAAAAAAAGTTATATAGAAGTAAAACTTAAATGTGTCATTATTTTATGCAAAAAATAATAATCATTTCATTTTTTTTTTTTTTTTTTAATTTCTTAATGGTAAAAATGCTTAAAAATCATTTGATTGTTGATTAGAGATGAGTAGAAGTATGGGCAAAGCCAACTTCAAACATTTTAATTAGGAATCTTTTTAAATGCATAGTAATTTACCTTATTTTTTAAAAGCAATGTCTCTTCAGTCAATCTTGGTTTTCCACACTTATTCCCCCCACCCTAAATATCTGTAAATTGCCAGTGTTGTTACTGGCAAAAGTAGTGGAGTGGTTTCTTGTTGTCTTCTCTTTGGTTTTCAATTCAGAATTGTCATTCTATGCTGGTTATCCAATCAAGGCTAAAGAGACCAACTTGCCTTGCTATTTATTTAACCCATACCAAGGAAGGATGAAGAGATGTATTCATGTTTTATCTCTTTTCCAAGCTCATTAAATGCAACAACTCCAACCAGAATTTGAACTTGGCGTACTGGTGCCATTTTCTCCATTTTTTTTTTTAAATCATTTATGTATTGAATAATTACTTTCAACTATAAATCACATTCAGTGGCCATTTTTAACCGGTACTGAATATTTAGAAAAACAATTTGATTTCTACTTTATTTTCTTAAGATCCATAATCTCCACAGCAATAAAGCCCTTTTTTGTTGATGTTTCTACTACAATTTATTTTTGCCTTTACCAATTCAAACTAATGATGAGTTACATTAATAATGTTTCTTAATACCACATTATTCTTATGGGGATTAAAACTCCTTCTACAAGAATTCTTAATAATATAAACTTGAATATTAGGAAAAGGAATAATGAAATAAGTAATGCATTTAACAGGAGCCAGCTGATTAGTTAGATGATGCACCAATTGCAATCAATCTATTCTTAAAAATGTGTTCACTGATTCATTAATAAACAATAATAGCTTTGGTAAAATGTATAAAAAAGAAATAACTGCCAACACATTGTCATGTGTACAAAGTCTTCAAAATCTGTTAAAGAAAACTTTGTCTTATTGTCCATATATTAGTTACCTGTAAAGAAAATACCTGTAATTTCTGAAGTATTTTAGGTAGTAAATAATATCAGCTTCTACATGAAGAGGAAGTTAAAATGTATTAGAAAAGTAATACTGAACTGAATTGAAAACACTCTTAGTTTAATAATTTCCACAGATGGACAAATTCTACAGTAATAGTGTCATGCCTCAATGCTTTCCTTCTTTTTTTTTCTCCTCAACATTTTCATTATGACACTTTACAAAACATCACAGAATTATTGTTGTTGGCATTTCATTCCGCCAAACTCTTTTCATGTACAGCTTTTTTCTTTATTTGATATCATTTCCCTCTCTCCTCAAATGCTTTCAAATTCAGAAGACTTCTTTAAACATAACATGATTGCATATTTTGTGCAATCACACTGCATTGAACTTTTCACATTTATAGTTGATTTTGTTATTGAAAAGAAAGACAAAGGAAATACAGGAGAAGGACATTAATCAATGTATGCTATCTTTGCTAGTGATTTTGAATATCATATACTATAATACCAGACATAACATATGTATAATATGATACCAGTCGAGTATTAAAACATAATTGTACTTGTGTCTCTGTAGAACAGACTTTAAAAGGCTTAAAGTATGCGCTTGGAAAAGTGAATTCATTTGATATGATGAAATACCTCAATAAGTTAGTTTTGTTATCTCTCATAAATCACTTATTCTGTTGTTTCTCTTAATGTATTATTTAACCTCCTGGCATTTTCCTCTTAAATAATTTTGCTTAAAATGAGCAATCAAAAAATAATAAAAGATATTTACAAACCAGGTCACATTCATGTAAGAACTTTTATTATTTGCTTCATTCTTCAGGGAAATGTTTAATAGTGTTGTAACATTATTCATATTATAAATCCCTACAAATTAGGATAAGTTCCAGTATAGTTTTATTTCATTCATTTTCATCAAATATTTTTGATTATGATATTGCAACTGCTGAAAAACCAGTTATCATTTGGTATAATTCAAGTGTAGAAGTGTGAAGAATAAATAAAATAAAAATAAAACCCTGTGACATAAAGTGTTTGCTTGAAGCAGCTGTATATTTTTGCCTAAAACTATTTCACTAATCGCATCATGGATCAGATCATGACTCGTGTACATGCCTGGAAAATGATTCACAGAGATTGTGATCGACTAACATAGTATAAGCTAACATGAAACTTTTCAAATGATTTCATATTGTGGATGTTTTTCATTTAAAGTGCAATAACCACTTCTAATGCATTCCTTCTTTATGAAGTTTTCACCATTCACATTAGAGTGTTACAAATTCAGATTAGTTTTTGTATACATTGCAATAAATGTTAATTCTTTGGCTTTTATTCACTGAAGAACAGGAGATAATAATTTTCAATTATTATTTTTAATACAGAATACATTTGTATTCTCAAAAAGAAATATTTCAGAAGTTAATCTTCTCTCAGTGAAATTCTCTCTTAGTTTCTTTTTACTAAATGAATAATGAAATGCTTCTGGGACTTGTATCTCAATGTTTCCCTCCTTTTCTTTTTCTATTCTACTGTAGGTTCCCCACGTGTGCGTAAGAATGTGATAAGCTGTGTAACTGTTCCTGACAGTCCTGACCTTGAACATGGCTCAGCAGTGGCAGCAGCAGTTGTTGGTAGTGGTGGTGGTGGTGGTCACAGTGCCCGCAAACCAATTACTTTCACCCCAATCAAACATGAAATCCCATCCTCTTCAACATCATCATCATCATCCTCTGCTTCTTCCTCATCCTCTTCCAGCAGCATTGGCAGCGTGAAAGGACTGGCTGCAGCCTCAGCTTCTTCCATGGCTGGTTGTGCAGTGGGAGCTGCACCAGGCATGTCCACACTGATTCAAGACAGTATTGGTGGATCTGGAAATGGAGGTGGAAGCAGCAGTGGTAGTTTTATCAAAACACAGATGGTGCCTCCCAGCCAGAACCAGCACCTAGTGGCCTCTGCAGCTTCTGCCAGGGGAGGAGGAAGTGCAGCAGCAGCAGCTGCTGCTGCTGCTGCACCAGCAACTCTCTCCTTCATTCCCCCAAATGTCACAATCAATGATCAGTCTCGGCCACCCAAGTACCGTGAACAAATAAACAAGACGTCTCCTTTCGTGACTCACATTCCCAAGCAGGAAGCCTCTTTGCTGTCCTCGTCTCTTTTGTCATGTGCATCGTCATCCAATAATGACAGGCTGCGTCTGAACCGAACTCCAACTAAACATGAGGTGAAGCTGCCGCCACTTGAGGTGGAAGTAACAACTGCACCCTCAATACACAGCAAGCTAGCATATGTTTCCCCAACTGTGCGCCTCAGTCAGAACCAACCACGAACACTGCAAGGTCATTCTTCGCATCGGAACATGATCGGTGGCCATCAGCCAGCTGGCACACTTGTAGCTACAGTCCTCAGCAGCAAACAACGGCCTGCCAACAGCTTCACCAACCCAGCAAATAGCTCCTCTCAACTCTCTCCAGCTCAACCCAGTGTACACATTGGCCAACCAGTCTTTCTCAATACAGGCTCGCAAGTTGAAGTACATAGGTAAGTGGAATACATGTACTTTACTCCTTTGTCTGTTATCTTTCTTTCCTGCCTGTTTTCTTTTTAGCTTGCCCAATCTAATCCAGAAACTGAAGTATTATTCAAGTTACTGGATGTTGAACAAAGTTTATTGGGCATATGGGTCAGAAGCAACAATTATGTCCAAAAATAACTTGAGCTTTCAATTAATCCATTGTATTTGTGATATATCATAATCCAAGACAGTTTTTAATGAACCCTAAAGAAGGGCAGGAATTGGAACAAAAACTTCTTCATAGTCTAAAAATCCTTCTGTTTAATTAGGTTTCAACATGTCATGTATAATGAATGGGAAAATGTTGTGATACTTAAATTGTGAAAGTAAAAAAAATTCAAGCAGCAGTTCTTTGTTAACACAGACAGCAAACTCTTCTTTCATATGTTTATAAATAAAATCCTGCTATTGTTTCACTGGTTACAGCAAACTAATTGTATTTCTATTATAATTTATCTTCTTGTCATTTAATCAATAATAGGTGACATAATCTCGATAGTTGTTTCTGATTCCAAAACATTGTTGATTAATTAAACGTTCATAGTTTCTTAAATTGTTGAAAAATCTTGAATTGGTGTGTTTTGGTTTAAATGTTATCTATTATTTACAAATGAAGTATTTTGATTTGTTCGTTTTTATTTTGATTTTTTTACTTACAAATAATATCAAATATTAATTCATAACAAATGAAGTCATTAAATGTCATCAGTGTGCAATATGGTTCATATTTTAAATGAAAGTAAAGCCTGGGTAATTTTTTAAGATCATCATAATTTTTATCAATTACCTTTGCAAAGACATCTGTTTTAAAAGAAGCTGGATTAGGTCAGTATTTTCAATTAGAATGTATTTTTGTTTGTATATATATATATATATATATATATATATATATATATATATATATAGTTTATCTTGTTTTCTTTGGATGTTGTCTTTTTTTTTACCTATGATAATTAGCATTGGTAACTGAATATTTTCAAGTTTTCTTGGCACCCAACCAAAAGCTTATGATGAATATTCTATCAGTGACTTATTTTTATATTTTGAAATTGTGGATTTTTTTTTCTCTCTCTCTCTCTCTCTCTCTCTCAATTTCAGTCTCTATTTTCTCTCTCTCTCTCTCTCTCTCCCCTTTCTTGTGTTATGTGTGTGTATGTGTATGTGTGTACATCTCTCTCTCTCTCTCTCTCTCTCTGTTGGCTAGTTGGTGCCAAACAATAGCCATTTCATAGTTTGACCAACTTTCAAGCAGTTTTCTTTCCATTCACATCAGTCATGCCACTCAATGTCATTGGCTTCTGTTTAAGGACTGAGCCTGTAATCTTTTCTAAATTCCCCTTATTTTTCAGACTTGCATAGTTTGAGACGGACGCTAAACTCACACTACATTCGACATGAACATTTCCTCGAGTTCCTGTTACCACTGAACCCACCAAATGGCTGCAGATCTAATGCCTCTCTCATATTTTGCATGTCCTCTTCTCCCTATTTCCACAGATGTACTGCTGTTGGTTGTCCAGTTTTTAAATTCCTTCCTTCCGCAGCCACAGCAGCAGCAGCAGCAGCAATATTAATTGTTCTTTAAAACACAATTCTATTTTAACCCTACAAAAGCATCTTTGATTTCATCCACATATTTCAAAAAAGTAAGCACTGCTTTTAACACTCAATATTATTACAAAATGAAACTTACCTTTCTTCTCACATGGAAGGCAGCCTATTTTCAACCTGAAACAGTGAAATTGAATACAAAATAGTGACTTATTTTAGTGTTTCTTTTTTTTCTTGTTCATTTCACTTGACAATTTCAACAAATATTCAGTCAGAAATGTTGATTTAGTTATTTTTGTTTGCATACTCTGTCGTCTCTTTACAATCACTTTTCATGTCACTGGTCAACAAAATCTAAAGTGGAATGGGCCTGTCATTTCTCTACAAACTGTAAGAGAAAAAAAACTCATTTAAAGCTGGAAACAAAACTTTCTCTTTTTTTTTTTTTTTTAAATTATGTATTGGCCTGCTGTCAATAATGGTTACTTTAGTTTCACTTGTTTGTCTCTTTGTAGGTTGGCACCTTTCAAATTATTAGGGTAGCTTGGTTAGAAAGGCGTTTCCAGGAACCAGTGGCAAGAAAGCTATGTACATAAAGAAGTTATATACATTATGAGGTATGCAACTCTAAAAAGTAACTTCAAGCCAAGGCTGATAGTAGTAGAAAAACATGTTTTAAAACTGTTGAACATAATATATACAGCCTTCAAATACAAAGATATATTTTAACAAAACACCAGTTAAGGTGATGTGTAATAATGTTATCTCACCATTGTATATAAAGCATAAGAACAGAAAAGAACCCTTGCAAAATTTTACTCCTGTCAAAGAAAATGATCTGCACTCTAAAATAGTGTCCAAAATATATCCTTCAGAAGTATTAGTAGAACTTATATAAATGAATAAAAAATGTACATGACCACTGAATTAAAGAAGAATTTAGTTGTGTTTTTTTTTTGTGGGGGGGGTTTAAGACACAAGTTCAACTATTTTATTATTTTGTGTTTCATTCAGTAAACTGTTTAAACTGAGCATTATGAAGTGTATTGAATGAACATTAAATGCTTGGTGATGTGTGTTTGCTATATGTCTATATGTTGTTAATGTGGTGTGATGTCAATGATGTATATTTTGCTGTGTTAGTGTGAAAAGAATATTTTGAATGAATGGGAGAATCTCCAGGACTTAGTGGAGACAAATGCTTTTGTAATTATTTCCTTCATTTTAGATTTCTGTTTGGCATCATTAGTAGCACAGGAAAAAAAATGCCACTGGTACTCCTTTGTACAATTAAGAATGCAAACTTGAACTGTTTTGCTTTCTTGAACTAAATTCCAGTATTTACATGTTCCCTACTTTTGTGAATGTTGATGAATTCTCATTAGTTAGTATTGTCTGATTAAATGTTCATTGCTGCCACTGCTGCTGCTATTATCTGTGTTACGAAAATTGCTTCAAGGTTGCTATGTTTAACTTGAGAGTTGAGAAAGCCAACAAGGAATCCAGCTTTCCATGTAGTGTTTGCAATGTAGCCTCATTCCACGTGCCTGATCACCTTGCTGCTCTATGTGCTGCCAACCAGCACAGTCCGTGGATAATATGGTTTACTGCCTTTGATTCCGAATGCACCTTTATTAAACCTTGTTTTCCACTTTCTAATAGGCATTATCAGCACTTTCAGCGGAGGTAGTTTGACTGTTAGTAGTGGATGGGCAGAAATATTCTTAGCATCAACCAGACATTTACTAGGCAAGTTAATTTTTCATGATCTCTGTTACAATTTACTTTTCTTTTTCTTTTTTTTTTTAATCTTTTTTGTTCTTTTATTTTTAATTTTTTTTTAAGTTTTTCCAACAGTGACAATTTCTCAAAAGGGCATCATTCAACACAGCTTTTCCTTTTTCTTTTCTTTTTTCCTATTTTTCTTTCTCTTTCTCTGTCTCTCTTTTTCTTTTTTTCCTTCATTCTTTGAGAGAGAGCGAAAAATGCCACATTTTTCTTCTCTCCTATTTTCTTTTTTTTTCTCTAAAATTTTTAAAAGTTGCTATTAAGATTGAATTATTTTCTTTTCAATTTTTTCTATTTATTGTGATATTTGTAATTTGTGAATTTGAATACCGTGTGTATGTATGTTTGAAAGTGTGCACATATATATATATATATATATATATATATATATATATATATATATATATATATATAGTGCCACACAAAATGTTTAAAACACATTACTAAAAAAATGTTTTTCAGGTATTTCTAATACAGATAGATTAATTAAGCTTTTACTGTTCATAGAACATATATTTAAGTATTCAGTCAAACAATAAGATCTTTTTAAAAAATTTCAAAAAAGTATCACGCGAACCAAAAAACGATATTTAGTAACTCAAATTTTTTTATCTAGCTTTTTTTTATAAAAGTGTTTAAATTTTACTAGAATGTTCCAAATTAGGATGGGGATGTGTTTTCTTTTCTTTTTAGAATGTTCCAGATTAATTTTATGATAACTTTTAGGAAGGATTAATAGTATTGTGTCATTCTTTATCTGTCTTTTAAACATTCACAAAATGGGGAAAAGCAAAATAATTGATCAAGATCTCCGTAAACGTATTATTGACCTTCATACAAATGGACTTGGTTAGAGGAAGATATCTAGTCAGTTAAATGTGCCATTGAGTTCAGTTAGTACGACAGTTTGTCACTGGAAGACGTGTCATTCCATTCATCCCAAAACAAGCTTTGGTCATTCTAGAAAGGTAACAGAACATATGACAAGATTATTGGAAGGAATGTTGGCAACAAGCCCCGAGTTACACTTAAAGAACTTCAAGGAAGACTAGAAGTAAGTGGAGTAAAAGTGAATGCAGATACAATTAGTCATTCACTTTGTCGATATAACATCTTTTCAAGGACTCCAAGGAAAACTTAAGTGAAAACCTGTTCTTGTTAGACTGAATTTTGCAAACGAGCATTGTATCAAACCTGCAGAATTTTGGGAAAATGTACTTTAGTCAGACGAAATGAAAATTGAACTTTTTGGCAGAAATGTTGTGGCAAAGATCTGGAGAAAGAAGGGTACTGAATATTTGCCGAAGAATACTATCCCAACAGTAAAATTTGGGGGCAGATCAATCATGATCTGGGGTTGCTTTAGTTCCCAAGATGTAGGGAACATTGAAATAATAGGAGGGAGGATGAACGGAGCATGTTATATGGATATTTTGGAGAGAAATTTATGTCAGAGTGCACATTTGCTGGGCTTGAAACCAGGTTGGGTCTTTCAACAAGACAACAATCGTAAACATACTGCAAAGCTTACAAAATCATGGTTAATTTCAAATAGAACAGATGTTCTAAAATGGCCAAGTCAATCTCCAGATCTCAATCTGACTGAAAATTTTTGGTGAGAGTTGAAACTGAGAATTCAAAGAAGGAACCTGCATGAACTGAAGGAATTTTGTTGTGAAGAATGGAAAAATATTAGCCAAGAAATTTGTAGGGGACTACTCTAAATGCCTACATGCTGTAATTAGCAATAACGGTTATGCTACGAAATATTAATAAATGATTTAATAAGTGTATTGTAAGCTTTTGTGTTATTAAATATTGATTTTTTTTTTTTCTTCGTGGGATATTTTTATTGATTATTTTTTTTAAATCTGATTGTTTGACTAAAGGCTTAAACATATGTATTATTAGCAGTAAAAGTTTCATTAA